GAAATGATAAACTACTTCTGAATTCTCTATAGCAGTGGTCCCCAACCTGGGCCTCCAGATGTTCTTGGACTTCAACTCCCAGAAATCCTGGCCAGCAGAGATGGTGGTGAAAGCTCCTGGAAGTTATAGTCCAAGAACATCTGGAGGCCCAAGGTTGGGGACTACTGCTCTATAGTACTGTTTCCCAACCTTTTTTGAGGTACGGCCCTCTTTTATAATAGCCAAGTAACCTGCAACTCCGGCCATATTATTTGCATAATTCTTTTTTTAATGGGACAATGATATGGCTGGATAGCTCAGTGGTTTAGGTATCTTTCTGCGGAGCCAGAGGTCGGAGTGCAATTCCCCACTGTGCGTGCTACGAATAGAGCCAGCCTATGTGGCCTTGGGCAAGCTGCGCAGTCCCAGAGAGCAACCAGAATGGGAAATCACATCTGTCTATCCTCATGTAGAAAACCCTGAAAAGGGTTGCGTATGTCAGACTTGAGCTGACAGTACACAGTTACAATAATAATTATTAACCTTGTTTAGGCATGGCACTGCAAGCTGGCCTTCCAAAAATCACCTTGTTAGGACTATAACCTGGCTTCTCCTGTCACTGGCCATGCCACCTGGGTGAATATGGGAGCTGAAGTCCAAAAAAAGTAACATTTCCAAGCTTTTGACTGCAGAGTACTAAAAGCATGTGCAGCATTCCACACTAAAGGCCAGATGTATTGGATTTCAAGTTTTGGGAGGGCGGTTTGGTGGGTGAGGAGGTTTGAAGGGGTGGGGGTGGGGGCAAAGCCAAGGCAAAAGGGTAGGCAAAAAATTACAATGTTATTCTAAACCTCTTATTGCCAGTGACTAAAGCTTAGAACAGCTGGCTCATCCTTTTGCAATGGGAGGAAACAGAAAAGATGACATCACTGAATGATGACATCATGAGAAAGAGAGTGTGGGCGTCTTGAAAGCTCAGCTGGGCCACACTGGAACCCTGGTACATAAAGCTCTTCACATTGCTCTAGCTGGCCCCCATTATCAGGTCCATCCCTCCAGTTTTCCTGATAATGACAACTGATTTGTGCTTTTGTGCATCTCGAGGTGCTAGTTTAAATTTTCTACAATATCCCAGTGGGCCCTCAATATACCATTGCACCATCTAATTTAGTTATAGTGTAACAGATTGTGTACATGTGGTATTATTATTGCTACCTTGTGCTACTTTAAATTGTATTATGTGTTATAGTTACATTGGATATACCTACTGGTCAGTAACCGTAATAAAGTGTATATGAAATCATTGCATCAGGGCATTATGGAGAATATCAATGATGTCGGAATATCAATGTAGGAAATTAAAATGACAGCACCAGATTTCCAGGTGGAAATCAGTAATGCCACAAAAGCTGAGAGTCCAGGAGAGGTATGAGTGACACTTTCCATTATGAAGGACCCTGAAGAACTATCAAGATCTAACTCTCAGATTTTCTACCTGATTTTGGACTGGGGGGGAATGTATATTTTAACAAAAAACAGAAAGGTTCCTACTTTAAACCTTAAACTGCTCAGACTTCATTAGCCATCTGCTCCCCTCCTCAACCATCCAGTTGTGGTGGATTATACGCCCATATCCTATGAAAAAGATGCACTTATGTACATAAGTGTCTGAAGATATGTATACATTACCAGATTTTCTTTAGTTTTGCTTCTCAGTTAAAAGTGATGATAATTAAACCTGGATTTTCTACAAAGATAATCTACGCAAGAGGCTTAAAGACAGTGGTGTAATAAGGCCAGGACTTGCAGGGTCAAAGCACTGGGACTTTTGATGAGCAGGATAATAATAACATCTGCCATCTCTCTAGCTGCAGTCCTCAGGGCAACTGGAATGGGAGGGGAAGGGATGTAATTTTTCCATAACAATATACTGTTATATGTTTGCCTTGTCATTATCCAAAAAGGCAGGTCTAAGCCACCCCTATCATATTTTGGAGCAGCATAGTCTTAGATAGCC